CGGAGGCCGGCCTCTCGCGGATGATGAGCGCAAAAAAGTGAGGAGGACGGAATGGGAAAGAGGAAGGAGACAGAGAGAGAGAAGAGAAGCCGGCAAAGACCAGAAACTGGTTTCAACCGATCTAGCGAGCCTTAAAGCGAAACCCGCGAAGCCATTGATGCCTCGTAACGAATTGATGAGTTACGATAGAGAACTTGGATTCCCTCTCGATCCTCCCTACTAAATCGTCGATATTCCCCAGCCGGTCGCTGGTTTAACCGCCCGGAATATCATAGATTTAGATTGTATTTCTACAAGGCAACACCTTGTTGCTTGTCGACACCGAGATTACCATCGTAAACTGATAAAACGCTTGAATTACGGTGGAATAGATCGGCCCGTGTATATATTATACACGCACCGTCGTATATTGTCCCAACTGAATCGCGGTGTTCCATCGACAGGTGTATAAGAACAACGAGCTGTTCTATTACATCGACGGTTATGACGTCCAGAAATCAAATTGGATGCGTTACGTAAACCCGGCATATTCGTCCGAATCGCAGAACCTAATAGCATGCCAGTATAAGGTGAGTCGGATACGCGGTTACCATTTCTCCTATGCTTCTCTCGCTCGGGAATATCTGATCACCGCTCCACCGGCGGGGCGGGCAAATATTTTCGAGCGATCGCGTTAATCGCCCGTACGAATAATATTAGACGTACGGTACTGATACCGAGCCACCGCTGCTCTCTCTCGTGTTTCAGATGAACATTTATTTTTACACGATCAAGCCGATACTACCGAACCAAGAGCTGTTGGTCTGGTATTGCAGAGAGTTCGCGGAGAGGCTGAATTACCCGTTAACGGGCGAGCTGATGCTTCAGAGAATACGTGAGTATGGCTCTCGAATCGATCCTTAATCGATCGAGTAAACCATGTACGTTTCTCCGTTGGAACGCACCCTCCTGACGCGATCGTTCTTCTTCTATCGTTCTCAGGACAACAAGTACAACAATCGGCGTTGCCAAGCGAGCTGCCGCCCACCGTGGACGTCGTGTCGCCGCTGAAGGACCCGTCGATCTACGAGAGACGCTCGCAGATGACACCAACCGACGGATCGGTGCGATCGGACGAGGGCTACCACTCGAACGGCTACCACGACGAGGTTCTGACGCCGCCGGAGGAGAGCAGCGAGTCCGACTCGGAGAACAATTACGTGCTGGACTTCAGCAAGAACTCGAAGACCTCCGTGTGCAGCAACGAGGTGTTGGACAAGCAGGACAACGCGGCGGTGAAGAACGAGTACAGGAAGGTGAAGATCAAGATCACGAAGACCTACGGGAACTTCCAGACGACGAAGAGCGGGCTGGACGGCGGCGGAAAAGACAAAGAGCAAGAGCTGTCCAGCAGAGCCGTCACGCCGGAGCTTCAGAAATCGGTGTCGCCGATTCTGCTGCAGAAGAACGCGGTCCTCTCGACGGTCAACGAAGACGAGATCCCGAACGAGAAGAATCCGAAGCCTTTCTACGAGCCCGAGGTGAAGGGCAACAATCTCCCCGGGTCCGGAAGGCCTGCCTATCTGGCGAGTCCCAGTAGTTCCATCCTCGAGAACATCTTGCTCCGCAGCAGCACGGACAACAACAACAACAGCCACAGTCATCATCACAATGGGGCACTGCAGCATCACCAGCAGCAGCAGCAGCAACAACAGCAGCAGCAGCAGCAGCAACAGCAACAGCAGCAGCAACAGCAGCAGCAGCAGCCGCAGCAACACCATCAGATTCACCATCAAACTCATGTAGACTCTGTCACTCCGCCGCCGTCCAGTCCAACGGAGATGGCGTACTCGTACAAGAAGTCCCATCGCTACGGCAACATTCTACCGTGCAGTCCAGACTCCAGCTCGAACTTGCCGATGCAAGCGGACACGTGCGTGAACTCGACCAGCGGGAACAGCGCCCTGCCGATGCAGAGTCCGACGAGTAACCTGCACTCGAGCACGGGCAGCCTCCATTCCAGCACCGGGAACCTTCATTCCAGTACCGGGCCGAACGGCAACGTGCTGCAGTCGCATCCTGGCAGCATCCATTCGTCCAGCAACCCGAGCAACCATCACTCGAGCGCGAACGTGTTGTCGTCCAGCACGATACTGACGTCGACCAGCAACATCCACACGTCCGCGGCGAGCAGCAGCTGCCCACCCAAGAGGAAGACCAAGTCGCCGTCGCCGTCCGCGAACAATCCGAGCAGCGCGGCCACCTCGACGATCCTCTATTCGAGCTCCGGCGGTTGTCAGATCGAGTCGAACCCGGTCTACCCGAACTCAGCGGCGAGCAGCAACCAGAGCGTGTCGCCGATCTCGCCGATCCAGTCGCCTTCCTCCTATCCGTACGGGATTTACCATCAGAACGGCTCGTTGCATCACAACGTCGCGCCGTTGTCCATCAACTGCACCGCCTACTCGCCGACCCCCAGCGGGAACGTGGTCTACGAGAGGGACGGCAGGCGGCTGGAGGCGGCGACCAGCAGCCATCAGCTGCCGACCTCGTCCACGATGCAGATCGACAGCAACCAGGCGCTGATCGCCGGCACGCACAACCTACACCTCGGCCATCATCCCGGCTTGACCATCCACGCGAACTCGTCGTCGCTGAACAGATACTCGCCGGCGAGCTCGCTGTCGCCGGACGATCACGGCTGCTCGCAGAGCGGCTCGCTCAGTCCCAACTCTCAGGGGTCCAGAGGCTACAGGTCGTTGCCGTATCCGCTCAAGAAGAAGGACGGGAAGATGCACTACGAGTGCAACGTGTGCTGCAAGACGTTCGGCCAGCTGTCGAACCTCAAGGTGCACCTGAGGACGCACTCCGGGGAAAGACCGTTCAAGTGCAACGTCTGCACCAAGAGCTTCACCCAGCTGGCGCATCTGCAGAAGCATCATCTCGTGCACACCGGTGAGTCCGTTGATGCGTTTGGTATGGGATTCGTGTTTCCGGTTCATTCGTGGTAATTACGATCCGCGTTGTCTCGTACGCGAGGGTTGTCTTCGCCTCCCGTTGCATTGTTTACGCGTTGTACAGTAGCTTAAGCCTGCTCTCGGTTTCGAGGCGTGTTTAGAGTCAAGTCATCGACGAATGTAACTGAATTAAACGTGGGAACGCGATGGTTCCAGGCGAGAAACCGCACCAATGCGAGATCTGCAAGAAGAGGTTCAGCTCCACCTCGAATCTGAAGACACACCTGAGACTGCATTCCGGTCAAAAGCCGTACGCCTGCGACCTATGCCCCGCGAAGTTCACTCAATTCGTTCACCTGAAGCTGCACAAGAGGTTACACACGAACGAGAGGCCCTACACCTGCCAGGGCTGCGACAAGAAGTACATAAGCGCGAGCGGCCTTAGGACCCACTGGAAGACGACCAGTTGCAGGCCCAATAACATCGAAGACGAACTCGCTCTGGCGGCGGCGGTCGGCTCGCCGACTTACTACGAGTACGGGCCTGACATGAATGTTGGTGAGTGATTTCGAAAATGGAACGGGGAACTGGGTTTCCTGGTTGACCTTATGGCTACGGCCGAACTGAGGCTGTATCTTTGCACGCCGCGATCCTCCGCGGTCGCTGCCGCGATTTCAGGCTTAACAGATTTGTCCACAGTGCGATTACGTTAAAGTAGAGAGCAATGTATGCGGCTTTCTATGACTGAGACAGAGGCGAACCTTTACAGTGACGCGCCGTAGCCAAAAGAAGCGAACCCCTCGCTGTTTGATTTTCTTTGGGAGGTAGTTTCAAGGCGGTTGATTTCGATTCGCAGGAAACATGCCGAAGGAATGCGAACTGGAGCACATCGAGAACTACGAGAGGCACGGATCCGCACACGGGCCGCACTCCACGTCCCTCCACAACCTGGAGAACTCGGTGGGCCGGCCGAGCGTCATAGAGACCTCCCAGCCTCACATAATCGAGTGCACCTAAGAACGGGGGTATGAGCCCTTTCGCTCCAGCGCAAAATCTAGCCGTGGAATAGTAAACGAGTTGCTCACGACAAACGAACCGTACTCGTAACCCCTGCTTCCCTTTCGCGGCACAGAGAGACAGAGAAACAGAGAGAAAGAGAGAGAGAGAGAGAGAGAGAGAGAGAGAGGAACGCGATTTCGGAACTGTAATTTTTTTTTTCTTCTCCAATTTCATTCGT